AAAAGGATGCATTAAATTGCTCAAAAGTGACAGTAAAGACATTTATAATGTTACATAATATTTCTGTTTCAAATAAATATTGTTCTTTTGAACTTTCTAATCATCTGTGAATCCTGAAAAATAAAATGTATCACTGTTTCCACAAAAATATTCATCAGCACAACTGTTTTCAACATTGATGATAATAATAAATCAGCATATTATACTGATTTCTGAAGATCATGTGACACTGAAGACTGGAGTAATGATGCTGAAAATACAGCTGTGCATCACAGAAATAAATTACAGTTTAACAGAGATTCTCATAGAAAACAGCTGTTTTGAATTAGAATAATATTTCAGAATTTTTGCAGTATTGTTCATCAAATAAACAGAGCTCTGGTGAGCAGGAGAGACATGGAAGCCTGTGCATGACTGACATGAGCTTGTGAATGTTTGGGCGTTTGTGTCGTGACGCTGCGGATGCTTGCGTGTTCATGCGTGTCCTCAAATCAAACGCCACTCACTTCCACGTCTCAATCCTGTTAGCTTGTGTTCAGAAGTGCAGATTCATGCAAACAAGTGCAAATGAATAGCTGGAGATCTGCGGTGTGTTTCTGTGTTTGTGAGCGGCTCCAGCACACGCTTCAGACTTCTGAACATCTGACAGAAATGCATAGCAAATGACGTGTCTTTAGTGCATCTATGTGTGAGTACAGACTGAATAAACTGGGACACATCTAATATACAGGCAGATTAATGCAGATTATGTCTGTCTGATTTAAAAACACGTCAAGATCGTATTTCACCCTAAATTCAAAATCATTAGGATTTCACACATTGTGACTATATTCATGACAATACAAAAAAGAAAAAACGCCAAATTCTCACTACTGTAAGTATATAAATGTTTTTCTTTAATTACTTTTTAATTATTTTTTTTATTTCTCGTGATTTTCAATGTCTCTCATTACTGTGATGCAGTATTTTATTTTATTTTTAGTTGCAGTAATGAAAATTTCGAGGTTTTTTATCATTAAATGTTGAAATTGTTGCATTGCAAACACATGCCGGTCCTGAGTTTGGGGTGAAATATAAAAAAAAATATCCAGCCATATTTCACCCTAAATTCAGAACCATTAAGATGTTTTGCATTAAAAATCATTTTCATGTTTACAAAAAAATATATATTTTAACGCCAAACTCTTATGTAATTTTTTTTTTCTTAAAATATTTTTTTTTCAGTTTTCTTAATGAAAAAAATATGATTATTTTGGTCTTTTTGGGGTGAAATTTGACCTGGACGTGCTCTTGTATAAGCAAATTAATACAAATCACCTTCTGCTATGACTTTTTTTTAAATTGGTGACTATCATGAAAAAGTTCATATTTCACCATAAATTCAAATCCATTGACATTATTTTCATTACAAATTCCAAAAAATTCCCTTTATTTTTCATTCTCAGTAATTCTCACTACTGTTAAGTGTTTTTTTTTTTAACATGTGTGACCCTGGACCTCAAAACCAGTCATAAGGGTCAATTTTTCGAAATTGAGATTTATACATCTTCTGAAAGCTGAATAAATAAGCTCTCCATTGATGTATGGTTTGTTAGGATAGAACAATATTTGAAAATAATATTAAAATACTGAGAAAATCATCTTTAAAGTTGTCCAAACGAAGTTCTTAGCAATGTTTTGAAAAAAATTTTTCTGTAAGTCTATAACCTATTTTAATTAATTTCATTAAATTTCTAAAATATATTTCATTAAGCTTCACTGATTATAACATGCTTAGCATATGATTAAAATATAGAAAAATACAATTAAATAAAAATATATTCATGTAAATATATATATATATAGAGAGAGAGATTTTGGTTTTAAAAACCATATATTGTACTGCAATTTTTTTTTAAATATTTTTGAGAACTACAAGTTTTGAAATATATACATTTTAAAATATAATACTAAATGAAGGTTGAAACTTATATTTTCTAATTACACAATATATTGAATTGAGCTTTAATGTGTATAACACATATTTAGCATATATTTCAATATATATTTTGGCCAGGAAAAAAAGGGTTGTATGGGTCAAAAACAGCCCAAATTTGTCTTTTGTCTGTAATTTACCATCACTGTGAATATGAAAATTAAAACATGTTTTTCACATCCATAAGAGTGAAAATGAGTTAATCTGAAGTCGTTACATTTTTTTAAACTTTAAATTAATTTTAAAATACCATTAAAATGCTCGAATTTTCTCAGAAATTATTTCTAGCAATTCTGACTTGTATTCTCTTACCTGTGAGACAAACTAAGAAATGTAATTACTCCGTCTTTTTGGGCATTTTATTCATAGACAGTTAATGTCAGTTTTTAAAGTTATAAACCAAATAGACCAAAAAAAAAAAAAAACATTCTTGGTTTATAATATTTTATTACCATTTGGTAGTTCCACATTAAACTCGTGAGCACACACGAACAGCCTGGAGCAGAAACTGCTGCTGTATTTCAGACACACAGCCGCGCGCGTGTGTGTGAGTGTGTGAGAGTGTGAGAGTGAGTGTGCGTGTGTGAGAGTGTGAGTGTGTGTGTGTGTGTGCGTGTGCGTGTGTGAGTGTGTGAGAGTGTGAGTGTGAGTGTGTGAGAGTGTGAGTGTGAGTGTGTGAG